GAAGAGATCAGAAAGTTTCTGTAAGAGATCATTCATAATAATAATCCAAAGCTTGGGACCGGAAAACAGAACCTTGTGGACAACCTCTTTGAGGTCGGCGAACACTTGAGGTGCCACCCAAAGTAAGCTCGACCGTCCTGTCTTTCAGCAAATCAGAAACAACATTAAACACATTTTGAGGTATCTTCATTTCTTTTAGTAAATTGAGAATAGCAGGCCACCATGCATTATCAAAAGCTCCTTCAATATCAAGAAAATTAAAATAGTGTACAAACCTCTCATCTTACCCCTCTGTACAATGTTGCTAAGACGTAGAAGTGCATCCTCAGCACATTTTTGAGCAATGAAACCATATTGGTCAGCACTAAGAATATTTTCTTTATGTAGATGCCAAGTAATTCTGTTAGTAATTAGTTTTTCAAAACATTTACCTAAAGAAAGAAGACAGATAGACCTAAGATTATTCACATGTGGAACAGTGACACTTTGTTTCTTGGGTATCAGAATAACAAGGGCGTTCTTCCAAGTTCGTGGAAAAGCACCAAGATTCAAACATATATTAAATAATCTATGAAAAACTGCAGGAAAAAGACGATGGAAGTATCTTATGGTTTCATTGGGAATAGAGTCCGGGCCAGGAGACCTGCCAAGCCCTAAATTACGAATTACATCATCAACCTCGGCCTGCGAAAAAGGAGGATCAATCTGAGACGCATAACTACTGCGAGCAGATGAGCGCCACTGAGTATGAAAGTCATTATCAAGTCTCACACAATCAGGAGGAAAAGCTTTATCAAGAATAGCATCGATAGTTTCCTCCAAGGAAGACGTAAAGTTACCGCTTGAAAGCTGAAGGCCCGAGATTTCAATCTTCCTCATAAAATTTTCTTTAATACCATAAGTGTAAATTTTTTTCCACACATTCTCATTATTGATATCGGAAAGAAACTTCCTCCAAGACTCTAATTTGGCCTCAATAAGCATTTCATTGTATTTTTTCCTTAAATCAAGGTATTTCCGCTTATACAAGTCCCTTATATCATTGCTAGTAGTCCTCTGGAACCTCCATCTAGCCGCGTTGACTCTCTTTCTCATAATGGAAATTTCCAATGACCACCAAGGTACTTTTCGCCTACCAGTCCTTCTAATAGGCATAGATTTAATACATGCCCGAAAAATAACTGAAGTCATAAAATCTACAATCGCATTAAGTGAGTCAGTGCTCGAGCAAGAATCCAAACCATTAATGATCAAAGAAATATACTGTGAACAATATTTTTCAAAATATCCCCAATTTGCTTTTTTTTGTATTAAACAAAATTCTACTGACAGCAATTAAAGAAGCATCAGAAACAGATAAGTCGAATTCAATCATTGCATGATCTGACAATGATTCACAGTCCGAGAGACACCAGCGGGTAACATTTGCTAGCAAATCAGCTCCCATAATTGTGACATCTATATAGCTTGATCCCCTGTTCCGAACAAAAGGTAGGGCCACAGTCCTCATTGATCACATATAAGTTATAGGAGCTGACAAAATCTCCAAGCTTGTTTCCTCGAGCATCACTGTAGGGACTAAACCACAGTTCAGACTTACTATTGGAATCCATACCCCAAATAAGCTTTGCAAGATCCTTAGCCTGGAAGACCCGACTTATTTTATGCAAATCAAATTCAATACATCGGGAGGGCTCAAAGTAGTATGAAATAGAAAAATATTTAGTATCTTTAAAAATAATATCAAGAGTCACCATATTATAATCCAAGAATCTCAAATCCAAAAACGTAGTATGTAGAAATCCGGCTCGAACAACAATAGCAGCCTTTATGACCTTCTGAGTTAAAATCATAGTATAACCTAAAGGAACTCGGAAAGCCAGGCATAAGACCATGATAAGAGTAAGGTTCTTGAATAAAAGCAACAGAAACATTGTTTACCTCCATATTCAAAACAAGTTGCTGAGTAGCAGCCTTACATCTATGTAAATTAATTTGAAACAAATTTTAAAATAAAATTATGACTATTATCCATAATTTGTTTTCTTGCTATATTTTGACTTCTTATAAATTCATGACAAGAGCAACTTTCAGAAAAAGGCAAATGGCTTACATTTAATTTTTTTTCCTCATCTTTTATTTTTTTGATTGCGTCTAATGCAATTGATACAGACTTTCAAATTCTTATGTGGGCAATTTTTACTTTCATGTTCACGTGCACAGAAATAACAAGCACGTAGATTTTTACAATGTTCAGCACGGTGATTATATCCTAAACAATTAAAACACCGATTAATCACGACAAAATCATCCACCGTACAGATGCTCCAAGAATTTTTAGTCTACATTCCTGTAAAATACCTCTACGCATGTCTGGATGCACCTCAACAACTAAATGTCTCGTGTTTTGAAATTTCCTTAACGTAAATCGAATTCGAGATTCACTCCATTTATTTTCAGAGGCGATAACATCTGGATTTTGATTTTTTAAAAAACATCGAGAACATCCTCATCCCTTATCTCATTAGGGACATTTTTTATTAAGATCGTAGGATTCCTTCGTTTGGAAGGAAAGGTAGTTAATTCCGGTGATTTTACTTGAATTTCAGTTTGTATCCTTTTTAAATCATTTTCAGAGGGGCATTCAATCAATACCTTGCCATTTCCAATTTTTTAATTTTTTTGAGAATACCCACTTTTTTTCTCTACAGGATTAATTTGTAATTTAAGAATCTTCTTATATCCTCTGACGAACGATTTTCCGAAGAAATGACAAGACCACAACTTAAAGAATTTTGTTTTGCATTCTCCACAGGAGGATGGCAGCACAGCACTAGCATACGTTGGTTTTACGAAAATGTCTTTAAGACTTTCCCTACAAGCTTCACGGTAACCCAACGACTTAATACGTTCAAAATTCTTAGTAATCAAACACTTTAACTCACACATTGCATGCCTTGCCTCTTCACGAATATTCTGGTTCATATTACACTTTGACTCAATAGCCGTTTCAAGTTTATCATAGCAACATTTAAGCGCACTATAAAACACATCATCGTCTTCGTCCATCTTGGCATTCTTTTACTTCGTAGCACTACTCAAAGAAGTAAACAAATCGTTAAGCCAGGGTTAACCATACCGAAATCTTGCAAGAGCCATAATATTAACAATACTTCTTTTAACTTGAAACAAATTGCACAAATATAAAGCAGAGCACTTGCTTTCGCTTTAATTGACAGAGAAAAATATTTGTCCTGCCTGTCCGGAACTGGAAATGGTCCCTCACAGGCTGGTTCAAGTGGCTTCTTGATTCTATCCACTCGAATAAACACTCGTGTACAAGAATCTAAATCTTTGTACACAAACACCTTTTTGTTGTGGTGCACTTTGCATTTTCACTGGTTTGAGGAGTGCCATGTGTTTTGCAATTTATTCACAAAGCTATCAGGCTCTATTTCACAAGTTGGCGGGTCAAAAAACTCACCTGGCATCTTTATGTTGGTTCCATACACCATTTCAGCAACAGAATGATTACTATCCTCTCTAATAGCTGCTCTGAGGCCAAGAAAGGGCTTGGTGTGGCAAATCTTTGCACCACATATAACAGCCAAATTTTGAAACAGTTGTGATGTAAATTGTCTCCATTGGTCTGTCACAATTCTGTTTGAAACTCCAAATCTGCATATCCAGTTTTCATAAAATGCTCTGCAAACTAATTTTGCTGTAATGTCTTCCAATGGAATCACCTCAAACCATGAAGAAAATCTGTCGATACATGTAAGGCAGTAATATTTTCCATTTGAGGGAGGCAATGGGCCTATTAAATCGATATGGACCACATTGAATCTGGAGTTTGCTTCTTGGTATTGTCAAAACTTTGACTTTGTGTGCCTGGTCACTTTGACTCTCTGACAGCTAACACAACACCTGGCCCATTCACTTGAATCTTTCTTGATATTTGGCCGTACAAACCTGGAAGTTATGTGCTTAACTGTAGATTTGATGCCAGGATGCGAAAGACCATGTTATATGCTGGAATATCTTTCTTTGAGATGGTTTATGTATGTAGGGACGAATCTTGTCTTGGGAAAGTATCACACCATAAGATGTGTCCAGAAGGGAGCTTATAGCTTTTGAAAATCTATGAAGTCTCTCCATCAATTAACTTTCTCAGCTCTTCATCCTTACCTTGTTCCAGTGCAATCTTTTCCTAGTCGATAACAGCAATCTCTTCCACTCGAGACAGGGTATCTGACACAATATTCTCTTTGCCTATAATGTGCTGGATGTTAGTGGTAAACTGAGAGATGTACTGAAGTTGTCTCAATTGCCTTGGTGATGCTTTTTCATTATTTTGCTTAAAAGCAAAAATCAAAGGTTTATGGTCAGTAAAGATTGTAAACTTTCTACCTTCTAACAAATGTTTAAACTGTTTTATAGAGAGATATATTGCTAGTAATTCTCGGTCATATGTGCTGTATGCCCTCTGTGCTTCATTTAATTTTTTCGAGTAGAAAGCGATGGGTTTCCAGCTTCCTTCCTCCAATTGTTGGAGTATTGACCCTATTGCCCAGTTTGAGGCATCTGTACATAAGGATAATAGGCAATCAGGTTTGGGAAATGTTAATAAAGCAGTGTTAGCCAAATCTGTTTTGCACTTTTTGAACTGCAATTTAGCTTCCTCTGTCCATGGAACTTTTAGTTTATCCTTCTTCTTAGCACCTTTGAGCATCTCGTGGAGAATGGCTTGTGTTTCTGCTGCATTTTTAAGATATCTGCGGTAGAAATTTACTATACCTAGGAAAGTACGTAAATCATGAATTGTTGTTGGCAATTTGTAATTCAAAATTGCCTGCACTTTTGCAGGGAGAGGTCCTGAACCTGAAGCATTTATGAGATATCCTAGAAATTCTATTCCTTCCACTCCAAACATTGATTTTGATATATTGATGCATAAACCATATTTGTTTAATCTTTCAAACAGTAGTTTTAGGTGTTTACTATGCTCCTGATGATGAGGCTATTAATACATCATCCAAGTAAGGGAACACAAAATCAAGACCTTGGATTACTTCATGCACAAAACGCTGAAACGTCGATGGTGCATTCCTAAGTCCAAAACTCATTACATTAAACTCGAATAACCCAAATGGTGTAATGATAGCTGTTTTTGGCTTATCCTCATCTGCAATTGGGATTTGGTAATACGCTTTTAAGAGATCAAATTTGGAGAAAATGGATTTCCCACTCAAAATAAGATTAAAATCTTGTGTCCTTGGTATAGGGTACCTGTCTGAGCATTTAGTAGTCTATAATCCTCACAAGGTTTAAGAGTTCCATCTTTTTTGTTTACTAAATGTAGAGGACTGGCCCACTGGGATTTTGATGGTCGGATGATATTGTTATCAAGCATAAACTTGAATTCTTGCTTTGCCAATTTCAGTTTGTATGCATCTAACTGTCGTGCACGTGCATACACAGGTTGGCCTTTTGTACAAATATAGTGTTTAACATTACGCTTTGTTTGTTTATTTAGCACATTAGGTTTAGTGTTATTTGGGTACTGACATAGTAGTTCAGCAAATTTCAAAGAATTATTTATGGTAGATATAACATGATCAACCCCAATTGACATTATATCACTTGAGACTTTGCCATCAATTAACTGTTTCTTTTTTATATCAATTAATAAATGAAACTGATTCAAAAAATCTGCACCTAATATGCCTTTGCTTACCTTGGCAACGATGAACGGCCATTGGAATGGGCGTCTCAGTCCTAAATCTACAGTAAGTACCTTTATACCAAAAGTCGGTATTTCTGTCATATTAGCAGCATGTAATTTGTAGTCACACGATCCCTTTGTTGTAGAACATGCTGGCAGCAATGATACATCTGCTCCACTGTCCACGAAGAACTTTAGTCCTGAATTTCTATCCATTACAAATAACCGGAACTTACGGCTATTCGTGTGTTTAGCAGCAGAGCTAGCCGCTTAATCTACTGCTGGCTGCAGTTTTCCGTCTGTTTCCAGCTGCAAGGTGGAGTACACTTTCCCGGAAAACACATTTTCCCAAATTTAAAGTGGAAATAGCACAGTTTCCCTTTTGGATTATATCGTTTCTGAGTCTACTGCGACTCCTATGGCTATGGTTGGGACTACGAGTTTGTGATTTGGAACGTTGCACACTGAGTGAAGCTATTTGCTGCTCCAAAGCAGATATTTTAGTGAGAAGTTCGTTAACTGGAGAGGCATCATTACTTGCACTTGCAAGTTCCATGCGTGAACCCATTTCAGCAATTTTATCAGCCATTGTGGCTAATTTTTCAAGACTCTCATCACTGACTATAAGGATATTTTTGACTGCGTCAGGCAACTTTTCCACCCAGAGAGTACGTAACACTTTATCAGACACATCGTTATTATCACCAAGCGTTCTTAACTTTCTCAGCAGTTGGCTTGGCTTCATATCACCAAGTTTCAAACGAGTCAATAATCTTTTGATACGCTTATTTTCGCTCTCTTTAATAGCCTTTCTTTTGCTGCTGAATATTTAGTTGCAGTTTCATCTTTGATAATGTCCCATATATTTCCCATACAAACTTAGGATCCAGCTGATGCCACTAAGTAGTTAAATTTAGTTTCTTCTGATGTAATTCCTGCAATTTTAAATTGGGCTTCAACAGTATAGAACCATATCTCTGGTCTATCAATCCAGAATGGGGGAATCTTTACATTCACTTTGCTTGCTTCTAGCTACACATCACTGTTATTAATATTTGTATCAGGCATTTTTGTGCTTCACTTTCTAAAATAAAATTTAAAAAAAACATTCATAACACTCAAAAGGAAATCAATAATCACAAGATACTGGTTCTGAAAAGTTGAGCACATTGTCTAGAAACAATAAAATGGGTGTTTTCGTGGTTTTCCCCATGTGTAACGTGTATACGAGCCAGTTTCCCTTAGAAATTTCTCCACGAAGGCATCCCTCCCCTTAGGCAGATAATAGGTGTGCTTTGTCATAATTAAATAAATCAAAACTTCTTGATGAAACCAGTCTTTCCTTTTATCTCATACATTCAAAATGAGCATCTAAAGACTGATAAAGGCTCTCACCAATTACTGATGAAATGGATTGAATTGGATTATTAAGTTACAGCAAAGCAGGACTATCTGCCTAAAAGGAAGGATACCTTTGTGAAGAACTTTCTAAGGAAACCAGCTGGCATACACGTTACAAATGAGAAAATCCACGAAAACGCTCATGCAACCAGCCCGTTTACCGGAATTCGAACCCCAGAGTGAACTACCAGTGTTCAGCGACTTTACCGCTCGTTTGTGGACCTTTATGAAATGGAAGGCGATAACTTTATTTAAAATGATTGTCAGAAATACCAAGGTGTTTCGAAAGAATGAAGCAGAATGCCTGAAGAAAAAAATAAATTTTTGCGTAAAATTTAGTATTTGTATTTTTTTTTATTTAAAACTTTTTAATCTTATGATATATAATTCTTGCGATTTCAAAAATAAAATATTTGACTAAAATATGAATAACATTTTACGAAACCAAATGTAGGATAAAATTGTGCAAATCAATGGGCACAATGATAAAACTTTTTAAAGCGTATGCAAGTCATCCTAAGTTAAAATGTCGGTTATACATCTCTCTTATTTATATATATCTTTTCTGAACGGAACATTGAAGGGCGTGCTAACTGTGCTTTACGGTAATTTCTTTTTTAATACATGCAGTTGTCAAACGCATCGTAGTCTGGGTTACAAGGTATTCTTCCGAAAGAAACACAATTCAAATAAATAAAATCAAATTCTGCAAAATTTATATTAATAAATATATTTCAAATGCTCAGTTGAAATTAATAAATAGAAAATTTTAAAATAATTATCTGAAGAGACAATGCAACACTAACAATTAAAATAAAAGTATAAATATTTAAAAATTACCTAAATAGTAACTATGACTAAAAATACAGCATAAAGAAAGCTATTTGAAAAAAATAAATAAATAAATAAAATAAAATAAGCGATGCACCTTTGATTTAAACTACACAGTTCGAATGAGTAAATAGAAATTTTTAAAACAGTTATTCGAAAGAAACCGTGCAACTTAAACAATTAAAATGAAATTCGAAAAAGAAAAAATTGCTTAAAATTAATAACAATTATAATTAAAAATATAATATAGAGAACATTATTTGAAAAAAGGAACGATTGGGTCCTTTTTTTCCCCTCACGCGCTATGTAATAATGGAAATGAAAATAGATTGCCACATATTAAGAAGTTCGCCAAGTGAACTAATTTTGGCGCACACTGAATAAAAAGCGCCAACGTAAATTGTTGAATTTCTCCGTAAATTTCCCACGAAATTTTACAAAATTTAATATTTAGGCATAATTTGTGTTGTAGAATCGAAGTATGGAAAAAAAATTGGTATGTTATTTCAGAAAAAGTCCGATTTCGTGTCAAAATAACTATGTTAGAGTAGAGCTATATATAAATATAATATATATCCTAAGTCGCGCTTTCGAGACATGAAGAACGCAATTTGAATTTCGTCAATCGGTCCAGTAGAACGGGAGGTATAGAAGTGTCCCATTTTTTATTTACTTATTTATTTATTTTTTGAGCAGTGTATATAGTATTCACATCAATAATATCATTAACACGCACCAGTGACCTCTGCTACATTCAAAATATTAGATGACCTCGAAATTTGTAAATCGAGTCCTTTATAAATGTATTCACATCATGATACTTACAAAATAGACCTGGTTAATTTGACACCATTCAGTGTTACAATGTCTTAAATATTACAAATACAGATTACTGATTTCATGAGAAGTTAAAATTTATTATATTATTGTCATTGTTAGTAGTGACATTTCAACCAAGTTTCTATGCTGTAGGATACACTGAATATGTACTCATAATTCATTAAACAAGTTAATAATTATTACCGAATATCTGGTAGCATTATTTCACTACTGTGTATAACAATTAACTAATGCCTCAATGAAACTTTCTAAATATTTTATGAAATTGATTTCAATTAGTTAAAATATTTTTCAAAATGCACTTCGACTAATAAATTCCTCCCTTAACTTGATATATCTTCTACAAGAGGAATACTGAATCAAGGAGAAATTTCACAGCTTCAGGGGGTAGAATGTGGTAAGCCTGTTATTTATACTTTAAATATTTAGCTTTGAATTTAGCAAAAACTACTTTTCTTCAAGTTTTGGCAATTATCAACATTTTCTACACTTTTGTTGTTTAATTCATAACACATTTTAATATAATCTAAATGTAAATAAATATATATGCATTTTTCAAGAATTGGGAAAGGGGGGGAGAGGATTTTCTATCTATGGTGAAAGGGGTGCATGGAGTAAAACAAGTTGTTCTACTATTTTTGATACATTTATGTTATAGTATTTATTACAGCTAAAGCTATGCATTTAAGATACTTTTATAATCGATGAATCAAAGTAATATTCTCTTTATCTTCATTTGAGAACACATTACCTCATCATAAATATTAATCTAAAATGTGTATGTAGGAAGTATTTTTGAATTTTTTCTGAAGCTGAAGAAAAAGAAACCCTATAAAAGTACTCTACTTGCTTTGTATTCTCAGATTAGTCATGCTACTGCAACAATTAAGTTCTCAAGATCTGTGAATTATATTATCATTTTTATATTAATACCAAGAAGAAAAATAAATTCAAAAATGTTTTATTGCATGCAACTTATAATCCTGAGTTCACAAAATGTTAAGTAGATACTCAATATTAAGGATAGTTGAAAATGGTAAAACACACACTATGCGAACAACCCCAGAAACCATCTGATAGTGTTTAATGGTCTTTTACACATTGCTGGTTCATAACGACCAGCCAAGTTTCACAAATATTTAAGAATATTTGTTCAGGCAATTAGATGTCTGTATTAAATCCATAGAAATCGTAACTTAGAACGAATATTTGTTTCAAAGTCATCAGACATCATGTTAGTAAGGACTGCATGTTAAAATTCAGAAATATTCAAGTAACATAATTAGGTACTTATCATGTTTCAAAATTAGCAAAACTTTTCAATAAAAGAAACATTTTATGCGAATTTACAAGGATTTTGTATTTCAGCAATTATGCTTATTTAAACACATATACAAATAACTGTTATCGTTTTTGCTCTGTAGTCGAGGAAGCATACTATGCACCAATTGGAAACTTTTCTACACTTTTTCAAATAACAAATAAAGCTTTTTCTTTAGGTTTTCAATTTTTTCTCAGTTATAATTAAAAACAGATTTCAATAGCAGTAAATTGAAAATAAAAGAAGAGACATACTGCTGTTTACAATAATGTAAAAATAATACAGTAATTTGAACCATAGAACTAGGAATTTTTCTTGACTCTTAAGCTATACAATCTCCTCATGATAATAGCAACAAGGATTGAAAAGTTTAAAAAAAGGTAGAATTGTAAGCTGTCAAACCATCAGGATTAAAGAAAAAGTACAATTTTTTTCTATTATATGAGCATTCAGTTCACACAATTAACTTCAGAGCCAATATAGAGATCAAACCCCACTACTGCACCACATAACTAATTCATTGGAAATTTGAATCATTAGACATGTTTTGTTTTTCTTAATGTAAATTACAACTACACATATTTATAGGGCATTTGGTAAAATTTGAAGTACATTATGAATGTAAGTCTCACATTGTTACAATACATTTATCTACTATCTTGATAGCCACTACACAATTCATGAGTAATATCAATATGGTAGCTACAGATATGGAATTATTTGACTTTTGCTTTTACTTATCTTAGATTAGCAAACAAGGCATACTTAGAATCTATTATATACACAATGTAATTTAAAAAAAAATTGAATTAGGGATTATTAA